TACTAATAATGGTACATGAAATACTCGGCTTGTAAAACTCGGTATGTATTGACTGCAGATCAGTTGTAGTTCAGTTGTTTATGAAGTTATGATATTGCTCTTCTTTTTCATTTTTGGGTCGTCCATTCATAGTCGTCTGGATTCAGTCTAGATCATCAGTGGTTGTACTCTGTTCAGAGGGTAGAAAGGATGTCGAAAAGGTTTTGATATGCTTTCTTCAAACATTAATACAATCAGCGTGTACAAATTCTTCCGTTTGGCCTTGTAATCAGAATATCTTCCTAGATGGATTGGCTCCACTGGAATGTGGAATCTGTTGATCCTTAATAATCGACGGTTTCGCTTTTTATTGCAGATCTATGCAGCTAAGGAAAGTACCCCAACCGTACTTCATATTTCCGTGCGATCCTTTGCTTTTAACATTTTCGCTTTATCCGACGTTGGTTTTTGGAGAGCAATGACTCCTTCCATTTTTGTCATTTCTGAACTGTTCATTTTTCAGGTTAGTTCTGTTTCTAAAACTAAAATATGAGTGGTGCGAAATATTGTTTGATGTGAAGAGAAAATATCTTCACAGAAAATGATTCTCTTGACAAGACTTTATGAAAGATGGCCAGAAAGCAAACGGGGGATTAAATGGCTCAGTTGTATCCAGCAAGTGGCATTGTAGTGCCTTTGAGTTGGCTTCTTACAGTTTTCTGATGTACAGACGACCTTGACCGTTGAAACTTCCTGAAGCAAGCGCCTTCACCAACGGAAAGGAATAACGGGCATTGTAAATGAACGAATTCTCTAATGATTCGCGAAATGTTTGATTTTGAGAAGAACATGAACAGAAATAGCCGCTAGATCTAGATAAGTATTGTAGATCTTGTTATTAGCTTTTTGCTCGAGATTATGTACAAACATAAGTCTAAACTTACGGGGTTGTTAACAACTGGATTGCAGTTGCCTACGTTTTTTCTAGTAGTCGTTATTGTGCGCTGTTACGCATTATGCTATTTGTACCTGCATTTGTTATTTTCTTTGTGTATATGCGCACTACCTTGAAACACTGCGTTATTATACTAAGCTATTATGCTAGATTATTACAGTTGTTACTATCTTACACTCTGCTGCTACTATTTTACAGTCTTACTACTATCTTACACTGCTGATATCCTACTGTGATGCAGTATACTGCGTATAGCATTGTGTTATATATGCAATGGTATATATACTTATGGTATATTTTATACCGCGGCATTACTGTTTCATTACTGTGTTACTAAGCTACTGCTACACCCATTAGCATTCATTCATTTTCCAAGTCCATTATTCCTTCCAGATGGAGAGGACATCAGCCTTGGGAAATTCTCCCTTTATTTGCATTTCTCTCACAGTTGAGCATACTCCATATATCGGATTCAAAACTCAGACGGTGCGACAGATACTCATTTTACTCGACGCATCTACTTCTGGATCTGCCATATTCTACCTGTTGTGTGGCCTTGCTAGGAGAGTTCATCTTGTGAGCCTCATCTCATTTTAAACTCGTATCCAAACCATCGGATTGAATGGCTTTTAGTTTGCATAAGGAATGGCCGACAGTCAAGCTGATTTCGGATTGCCATGCTCTGTAGCTTGTTGAGCCTCCTCACAAGAACATTCTTTGAAGGGATTTCATTTATATCGCTTGTGTTCTGTATCTCACTGTTTCGGTCAATATCTGACTCTTATTGCAATGGGTGAGGGTGGCTGATTAAATAAACTCGATGCAGATTGCTGCGAAGTTCCTTCTCTGTTACAGCCGGCTTGTTTAGTTTCAGTGTTACTGACCGATGTATTTATTCCCACGTTCTATCTGTGAATGAAATCTTGTGATACACAATTCATTACCTGGATCGGCCGGTATTCAGAGGCGAATCGCGCCTGCCGCAACAGTGTCTTAATAGTGCATGAAGTTTCACCAGGGTTGACGGTGATCTGAGCGAATTTCGTACAGACTGGTCCCCAAATCCATCTTATCTTTTAATCGAAGTTGTGTTTTCTAACCTTTGACGAACCTTTTTACCGAAAGGCATCGCAGGTGACATGTGCGTGTTTTTTTCTTCAATGGGGCGAGTTCATTTCACATCGACAA